AAAGAAAGAGCTACTAGGAGTCAGTTTTGACAAGCATTCAAGTTTACGCATAGCTGGTCCCAGACTTTTGGGGGTCCAGAATCTGTGCACAGTTTAAGAGAAACCAGAATGCCCACCGTGGCTTCGTAGATCTGCTATGTGATGCGACCCTAGGAGAGAAGGGGATCTGGTAAAAATTCTCATCACAGAACTTGCCTGCTACAGGACAGAAGGGCAGAGTCTGAGAGAATGGGAGGGGTAAGATGTTTTCCCAATAGGAAGAGCTGGTGCCGCCTCCCAGGTCTGGCTCCTGTGCCTCCAGAACCTCTCCAGGGCCCTGCTGGCTGCAGCCCGTTGTGAGTGAATAGTCAAGGGAGGGAAGCCCTCATCTGGAGCTCTGAGAAAGGAAAACCAACACAGGGTGCTGACTGAGAGAATTTATGGTTCATCAATTCTCCATTCCCTATTGAGATCAATGTCCCCACCACAGCTCACACAAAGACCTGGTCCACGCCACTGGTTTGAAGTGATGTAAAATTAAAAGTTCCTTTTTTCAAAGATCTCATTCCAGGAAGCCAAAGCCAAGTAAAATACACAATTACTTCCAAGCTGAATACCTCGCCTGGCAAGCTTTTCCACTCTCCAGCTGTACGCTGGACTTCTTGTCTCAATGCATTAATTGACTTTTAAATCCAAGCTTTATTGTTTCTTCTATAGGGAAATGCTTCCAAAATTTAAAAGAAAAAAATTAAAAGCTTTCTCACATACAGAACACAGTAATAACTTGGGGTCTGAGAAGGTCTAAAATCAAACCACTATTTTCTTTTAACCCTTGGCAGTTCTGAACAGAAAGAGTAGGCTCTATTCCCCTAGCTAGGATGTTTATCGAGAACACCACATTTGCAGGGAAGTTGCTTTGGGTTTGAATTTCAGCTCTGTCACTTACCAACTGTGAGCTCTTAGAAGCTCACTCGCTTTTCTGAGTCTCAATTTCCCTGTCTTTAATGGAGATGATAATAAGCCCTTCCTTTTGAAGTAGTTGTGAGGCTTAAGTGAACAAGGCAGTGCCAGTGCCAAGCACAGGACTCAGCTCACAGTAAGAGCTCAACACACAGCGGCTGGCTATTTAGTTAATTGGTTATTTCTCTGCTATGGGGCAACCCAGCTGACAAAGGCAGATGCAAGCAGAGCCTGGAAGGTCAGAGTTCTTATTGGATTCTGATTTCCACTGGGCCACCAGCCTTCAGAGATGCCTCCCTGGTGATGCTCAGAGAAAGGTAAATGAAAGGAAAGTCCAAGAGCAAATAAAAATAATCTCAATCAATCAATAGATACTAGTCAATGCTTTCCAGACATACATTAATGTATTCTTTCACTGCCTCCACAAATCCCAAGCTTGCTTCCAAATGTCATAAAGATTAATATAAGGAGAGGACAAGAGTTGGGCGCCTTGCTGTGTGTTTGCCCACCTGGGCTTCTTCTTCATCCCTCCAACAGGGAGATATCCTGGCAGTGAGTAGACGGGAATCTCAAAGGCTGTTGAGAAATTCTTATTTTCATTGCCTTGTTTTCCATGTCAATTCAACCATGGGAAGTTATCCTGATGTAAATCTTACCCGTTTCCCTCACCCATCTTGATCCCCACCTGGACTACTGGTAAAGAGATGACAAAATTTCCTGAGACAAATCACGTACAGATTTGAAGTGGGTTGTGAGGCTGAGCTCATGGTTGTGGGGTTCATGAGTCTGGCACAGGTTCCTGAATGTAAGCAAGAGCCCTCAGATTCGTTTTTTTCTCATCCGATAATCATAGCTACTTAGAAAACAGAAGAGCGCCTAGCTTGGTACCTGGCATGTGATAAGCACTCAATAAACATTTCCTTAACTAAGTTGGACTGGAAAATGGTTTTCAAATGAGCTTTACTCATGCACACACACACATACACACAACCACACACACACAGTCTTATGCTTGTACCTGCTCCAATACATCATTTAAAAGGAATGAAGCACTAATATTGCTGTAACGTGGGTGAACCTCAAAAACATTCTGCTAAGATATTATGCTAAGTGAAATGAGCCAGTCACAAAAGGTCATATATTGTAGGATTACATTTCTATGAAATATCCAGAATAGGTAAATCCTTAGAGACAGAACAGAGGTTGGTGGTTGCCAAGGGCTAGGGGAGTTGGGAATAGGGAGTGACTGTCCAATGGCTAGGGATGTCCTTTGGGGGTGATGAGAATATTTTGGAACTAGATAGAGACGGTGGTTGCATAATATTGGGAATGGTCTAAATGCCACTAATTTGTGCATTTTAATGACTAATTGTATGTTTTATGAATTCCACCTCAATTTTTTTAAAAATGAAGTCTCCTTTCTTTTTTTTTTTTTTTTTTTTTTTTTTGTTACCCAGGTTTTTTTTTTTTTTTTTTTTTTTTTTTTTTTTTTTTTT